GTTTAGAGAAAGTCACAGAGGGTGGAGGTGGTGACAGAGAGGCCTCCCTCACTGAGCTGACATTTAGGTGAAAGGACTTGATCTTGGAGAACTCTGGGGGTAAGAAAAGTGGCCCATGGACCGAGTTGCCCCCACTCCATCCCATCCACCATGTGTTGGTGTTAAAACTAATGCATCTGGAGTTAGAGCTGGGCCTGATGGAGATAATGAAAGTCAAGTGAGTCCAACAGTACCAGTGTTCTTCTGAGATGTGGCAGGGGCTTGAGCGCCCTCCGTCTACATGCACAACAGTGGTCCTGTGGAGGTAAGGGGAGTGTGCTCTCCACAGTATGGAAGAGAACCCTCAACAGAACCTGGCCATGACAACATATGATGCTTCATTTCCAGCCTCCGTAACTGTGGGAAATATATGTATAAGGTGTGTGTGTGTGTGTGTGTGTGTGTGTGTGTATGTCTATGTGTGTCTGTGTCTTTGTGTGTGTATCTGTGTGTGTCTCTGTGTATGTGTATATGTGTGTTTCTCTCTCTCTCTCTCTCTTTCTCTCTCTCTCTCTCTCTCTCTCTCTCTCTCTCTCTCTCTCTCTCTCTCTCTCTCTCTCTCTCTCTGTGTGTGTGTGTGTGTGTGTGTGTATGTCTGTGTACAAAAGAAAGCATGGTTATGCAAGTCATAGGCTGATGGAATGTGGCTTCTTCAATGCTCTCCACCTTGGTTTTTGAGACAGTAGTTCTTGATTTGTCTATGGCCAACAAGCTCTGGAAATCCCCTTGTCTCTGCCCTTCCAGTGCTGACAAACCACTGCACTTTGCTTTTCATGTGGGTGTGAGAGCCTGAAGTAGGTCGTCATGCTCACAAGGTATTCTCTTTACCAGTTGAGCCATCCCCACAGCCCTAAATGCTATTTTGAAACATCCAGCCACTAGTATTTTGTTTCTGCTACCTGAGCTACATGAATGTTCATCCAAAGAAAGTTTCTACGTGGGGAGGGTTGAGGGCAGGCAAGTCTCCAGAGCACATGCAGGAGGGGGTGGTATTGAAGAAGATACAAAATCCGTGAGGTTAGGATATCTTTTAATAGATAAACGCCAGCCGACAGCAAGCCAGAGCGTGTCAAAGGCAGCAAGGCCAGGGAGGCAAGAGAGGGCCAGCCATGTGCCTTGACTGTCCATTTAAAGCCTTTCCCTGTCACCCTGACATCACCTAGACCATGCCCTGGTGGGCGTGGTCAGGCACCCTGTAGCCAGTCCTTAGGAGGCATGGTTAGGATATCTCCCTACAGAGTGGTGTGATGTGAAGGCCTCCAAAGCACAGGTTGGGGAAGCCCTGTGGAACTTTGATCAGGCACAATGCAAGCCCATCACCCAAAGGAATGGAGGGACTCAGCATTGGGGATGTGGTACCAGGAGGACCGGGGAGAATGGTGAGTTCATGGAGTTGTCTGTGTTATACTAATCAGAGGAGGGCTAAGAGGATTAGATAAAAGATGAACATCAGTGGCCTTGACAAGAAGAAGTCAAGGAACCAGTGGGAATCTGGGTAGCAAGTGAAAGTAGAGATTCATAGAAGTCACTGTAGAGGATTCTTTTGGAAATGGTCCTATTGCTCCTAGGAGAAATTTTGGGAAAACAGAAATGGAAAAGGAGGGACTAGGAAGGAGGTAAGGACAAGAAAGAAAAGTCAAAAGTCAGATAAAATGTTATTAAAACACACAAAGCTCCCTATACTAAGTGGACCCCAAGAAGGCTTGCCAAAGCCTAGGCAAATTCAACAAAAGGAAGCAGTATTATGTTCATAAAATGGGCCCCTAGAAGACATGCAAGCAGAAAGCTTCCTAAGGGGTCACTGCCTATCTAGTGGCCAGCACCTACAACATTTAGAGAAGGTTGTGTTGCCAACATGCAGTGGCAAGTTGTTGTGCACCATGAAGTCAGAAGATCTGCATGGATGCTGATGTAACAAACAGGCCAGGAAAAGACACAGGATAGCCCCCATGTTCTCACCCTCATCATTCAGCCTTCATTCATTTTCCCTATCTTCAACTGCTCCCTTCTCTTTTCTGTGTTACTTTATGAATTTTCCTTGTAGCTTTTGAACAGAGTTGTGTTCCCAGTTCAGTACCCAGTATTTGTCATTTAAAGAAACATTATGAAATGGAGCAGGGACAGCAAATCCTAACATAAGTGAAGTAGGAGAGGCCCTCCAAACACAAAGTCTGAGAGAGAAAGGAATTTAGTATGAAAAATCAAAGGTCCAGAGACAGAGATTGGGGTTCAAACTTCAAACTGAAGATCACTGGCCAAGCCACTAGCTCTTACCTCTACCTCAGGCTGAAAGGGCTGATCCTGTCTCCATGAGCATTCACCAAGCCTCAGACTGCTGCCTCTCCTCAGTGTGGCTGGAGAATTTCAATCCTTCCTATCCTCAATGTGGCTGGAGAATGAATGCCATCTGAGACCCTGTTCCTGTCTTAAATACCTCTCATGAGTCCTGGGATTAAAAGCGTGAGCTCTGTTACTCTTTTAGACTGATTCAATCTCCTATAGCCCTGGGTGGCTTTGAGCTCTGCCTTTGTCTCCTGAGTCCTAGAATTGAAGGTTGTGTGCTACCACTGTCTGTCTTCTATGGCTAACTAGTGTGGCTGCTTTGCTCTTTTGATCTCCAGTGGCTTTAATAAATCATAAGCAATATATCACCACAAAGGAAGAAAGTAAAGGAGCGGACAGCACACTTTAGGCAAATCAGTTATAGTGATGTTAATATTAGATCAGACTTCATCCAATTGCATTGGTAATGATGAGAGAAGTGAAGACATGAGGACAAAGGGCAGTTCACCAAGCTATAGCAGTACAGAACCTCAGTGTGCTCAACAACAAAGCCTGGAGGCAGTTCAGCATCTCACACCCAGATGGCTGGAGTTTGAATCCCAGCTCTAGCGTCATTTATGAACATCAGTCGACCTTAAGGGAGGTGTTTAAACACCCTGTGTTCAGCTGGTCTCCTATATTTACCACTTGGACACTAGTTATACCTTTTAACATTGTCGTGTTAAGGACACCAATGCAATGTTGATAGTTCCTGGCCTCATGAACCCTGGCCTCATGAACTCTGGCACCAATGTTATTCATACTACTATTGCCTCAAATTATGGAAAGAAAAAAAAAAAAACAGGATCCCAAGAAAAATTGTCATGTCAATGTTAGGAGATATTTAGCTTCCTTGTCTCCCTAAAAATATTATCTGCAAATACCCGAGAAAGAAAAAGGTAACTATAGTAAAGTATTTAAACAAGCTGTTCTATCTTCAAAGTCATTGCAAAACTCATCCAACATAAATAAAACACAATCTACCTAACAAAACTGGGAAATAGAAAGATAAAAACATATGAAAAATAAAAGTAGAAACCATAAAAATGAGAGACGTTAAATCAAGCATAGCAATACCTATAAATGACTTACATTAACACATGAAAATACAGTCTTAGATTATATCGAAATATAAAAGTTGATGATTACATATGACACACCTACAAGTGCAATGTTCTAAAAGGGAAAATTAACAAAATATAAATTTCAGTAACAAAGACTGGCTGTGATCAATGACATGGGATTTTTTTTAATATATAGTAGGACAGGTGGCATTGACTATGAATCAGGTGACAACGTAAAATTATAGGTAACATTGTACCATTTGTATCCAAGTGATGCAGCAGCAAATTTCACATAGTGTGTAAAATGCCACTCCAGAAACACATGGGAATGTACAGAAAACCTTAAGAACATTGTTACTCGGCAGCTTTCCCATACACTTTTACTGGAATCAAATAAGTTGTGTAAATTGACAAGGAATATCAAGTACATCAGAGGTTTGTGTCTACCTACATTTGTGAACTACAGACTTGGGAAACCGTCGCCATAGATTCAGATCTACTCAGACTCTCAGTAAACCCTGAAGAAAGTTCTCTGTTGCCTACTAGTTGCCCACATCCTGTGGGTAGCAGAGATGAGCCTCTAGACTCCAAAAGACTGAGCATCCTACTGATACGAAGGGCATTTCTCAAGGGTCACTTCATTAGGTAATCATTGGAAATGGGGCACATTGGTAAAGACTTGGAAACAAGGAAATTGACACTGTACTGAGATAGCCACTTCCATCTGCAAGATAGATGAGTATTGAGTCACTATCATGCTATCACCTTGCCAGTGGTCAGTCAGTCTGGCTGTTCTACATGGAGGACAGCTGGGCAAAAAAACAGTCTCTTCCATGTGCATGAGTCCCCATCCACCCCCGGAGTTGTCTGCCCTAGAATTTAGTCCCCATCCCCCAGTTGTATCCAATGGTGCTGGAGGTTGCTGCAAGAGTCTGGCAGGAAACCATGGCATGGTATTGGGGGTGAGGCATGCAGCAGTAGGGAGACAGACACATCTCTGCTCCTGAAGAAGCAGGCAAGGGGAGACTGATTTGTGTGTTGAAAGATCCACTCAGGGTTGGAATGGCGGTCATTCATTCCCTTGTTTTCTTGATAGCAGCAGTATTATACTATTACCCATGTTCCAGGAAACCGTATGTGACCCTAATTGCCTAATTGGCTAGTTATTGTCATCCATATATATTCCCTATTAGGTTCTTGTTAGAAATTTACATACCAATCTGTTTAAATTTGTTTGGGTTTTCTTTCATTTTGATCTTACATGTGTGTTTTCAGTGTACCTAGCTTGAACATTCAAGATCATATGTGGCCCAAATGGTAACACAAACAACAACAAAACAAAGCCAACAAATTATTGTGTTCCCAATGCAGATGACATGTGACCAAGGCACTTGATGGTTGAGATTTGAAAGTTGACAATGTGACCCTCATTGCTAAGAGATCAAAGGCTACCTAGCACTCTTCCAGTTACTGGGTGCAGGGGGTCAGTCACAACTCTATGAAGGATGGAAGTCTTCTTCCCCTGAGCAGGGGTCAGCGCTGTATTCACGAGGTGTTTCTTCTCTCTGCTTCCAGGTAGAAATTGAGAAGCTGGATTACCACCATTACTTGCCTCTGTTTTTTGATGGGCTATGTGAGATGACATTTCCCTATGAGTTTTTTGCTCGGCAAGGAATCCACGACATGCTGGAACACGGGGGAAACAAGATTCTACCTGTCATTCCACAGCTCATTATCCCGATAAAAAGTAAGTGAACTGGTTAAAAAAAAAAAAAAAAAAAAAAAAAGCATCACTCAGTGTCTCACACCACCAAATTTGACAACTTGCTAATTAAGCAGTAAAACACAACAGACCGAGATGATCCCCAGGCTGGTGGGAACTTTTATAAATTGACTTATGAGGCAGGACAACTGAAATCTCTGAAAATATTTCTCATCACTAGTACTATATACCATGACTTAACCACAAACAAAACAAACCACGAGAGAGTCATATTAACTTGAGATATAGCATGGTCAATGAAATAGTGTTCAGACACTAACTTGTCCATTCAAAGGTAATGTGTAGCACAAATTCTAATTGGTATTAATAATAAAAACCCAGAGACAGATACAGGGGTTAAAGCTGAAGATCAGAGAACCTCAGACCTCACTGAGCTCCCATCTCCCACCACCTTATCTTCCTCTCTAGTGTTGAGATTAAAGGCATGGGATCCCAAGTGCTTAGATGACCTTTGTGTGAGTTCTGTTTCTCTTTTAGACTGGATCAATTTCGTGTAGCTCAGGGTGACCTTGAATTAACAGGGATCTATCTGCCTCTGTTTCCCCAGGTATGGGATTAAAGGTGTGTACCACCACTGCCTGGCCTCTATAGCTAACTAGTGTGGCTGCTGGGATTAAAGGTGTGTGCCACCAATGCCTGGTCTCTATGACTAACTAGTGTGGGAAACTTTGCATTCTCATCTTCAGGCAAGCTGTATTTGTTAGATCATAAACAAAGTATTAACATAAACACAGTAATGTGTGTGACCTTTTATGTGTTCTGTACCCAAACCCCAAGTTCTTGTTAAATAGTGCCTCTAATTTTTTAAGTTAAATAGAAATACAGTTTGCCGAGTGTCTGTGAGGCAGTGGAAGTCATAATTTCAGGATCTGGTATGAGGAGAGTAAATGCTTAGCATAGGGAACTTGTAATCCACAAGGGTTCCTGCAGGGACTCTAGGAGACAAGGACCCCTAGTGTTTCTATTTATAGCATGAGAGCACTCGTCCTTTCCATGGTTTGCTCAGGTGTGGCTGCCTCCAGCTTGCCTGAAAGCAGCCTCTTATACAGCTTCCTGATGTTGTCCTATGAGTTTTCCAGGAACCAGACTAAGGTTTTGGTTGTTTTCCATCTCGTCTTCTTCGCTTCTGCTAGAGCTGGTAACAGAATCACCATAGGCCAGCCTGGTGTTCACCAAAAAGACTGAGAGAGGTCTGCCCATCCCCAGATAGGAAAGTCAGGCCTGACTCCTCTCGCTGGTCACCACCATGCCCAGTGGTCATGTCACTGTCACTGTCACTTTCACTGTCACTGCTAATTAAAACTGGGTTGTCAGAGCCTCTGAGAACTCCACAAAGGATGAAGTTCTCTCTTTCCTTACCTTGAACTACCTCAGGCATTTCCACCCCGCAGCTTTGGATTCAGGCCAATGGCTTCCCAAAAACTGGAAGGCCCTTTCCTGGGATCTAGGCTTTCAGGGCCGACCTCAATTGTCTCCGGTGTGCTCTAGCCATGTAGTGTGACCAAAATGAGAACAAATTAGTTCAGTACGGGGTCATTACCCAGAACCTCAGTTACTTGGTTTTGCTTATGGTCATCTTTTTTTGATTTGGAGTAAGTAAGCATAATTAAGATTGGGACTTCAGCATTCAGCTCTCATCACTACTCACACAGAGTCAGCTCTGGAATGTTCTTGGCTGGCTTTGAACTTTTGGAGAGATAGCAACATACCACCATACTTCTAACACAAGAAGGGTCAAGTGGCCTCGTGTGAAAAGGAAAGCCCTTCAAATGGCCCTGGGTAGCCTGCAGCAGGCCTTCCTTTCATTCACCAGCCACCTGAAGGAGCCTTTACGAGGCCCTCAGGAACAAGACAGAGGCTGAGGAACTCAGACCTATCCTACTGGTGATTTGTTCTCTCCACTGGGCCACTTGGCTTAGAGAGTTCATGTTCTAGTTGAAATACCACATTTCTTAAAAGACGATATACAAGTTTCACAGAGAAACAAAAAGGGGCCAGAATGTTCTCTCCAGGAACCATCTGACCTTTTCTTCCCACACCCATTAGAAAAGCAACAAATCAGATCTCTGCTGTACTCTATAAAGTAGGTACTCTGTCTGTCTTTAGATGAGTGGCAGATGGGAGCCTCCTTGAGAGGCTGCCACACTTCCTTGGTGCAGATACTGGGGGGGCAAAAAGTATGTTCCTATGTGATAGTATGATTATTTTTTTATTGTTAAAGCAGAGCAAATCAGAGAGTGGTTGACCCTAAGTGAAGAGACAGTTAATCTATTTGATCTGTGTTTGAAGACACATAAATAAATCGAAAGAAGCATGCGTTATGCAGACAAAATTGATGGCACTGGCATACCCGAGGTCATTTGCTGATTGATAGTGAAAACATTATTAAAAACTCAGTAAACGTGATTTGTCAGGGGAAATTAACAAAATAGCAATTTGATAGCACAAGGTTCCAGTAGTCAGTACAATCTGTTCCTGGTGCCTGTCATTGTATGGCTGTCCAGGATGTGGTCATCATATACCCATCCTGGTGCCTGTCACTGAAAGTCAAGCATCTCTCAGGGAGAAATGTTGGTTCACTATGCAGCATCTTACAGGTTTCAGCTCATGGTGGGAAACGTGCATAAAAAACATATTTCAGGTAGAATTCTGGAATGAGCCTCATTGATCTAGAAACAGCTGGTGTGTATAATTGGCATAGCATGTAATAGCTGTGTGTATCTTATTTTCAAACCATACTATTGTATAATTGTGACTTTATCTAGGGGCAAAAATTAACCTTCAATCACCAGCTAGTAGTTCTAATTAATATCCATGAAGGTAGAACAGGGGTTAACTCACTGTGGAGAAGAGACATAGAAGCCATGCCTCCGAACATTCCCAGAGTCTGGGATTTATTTGTTTAAAAAATTACAAAATTGATAATTCTTGGATAAATTGATAATTCATGGATGCACTTAGTGGATTTAAACTAGTATTTCCAAACTGAATTTAAAAAGTAAGACTAGAAATATAATTTTCTCCTTTTTCCTGTTCCTCTACTCAGGATCCCTGTTTTAACAGGCTTTAAAGAAGAAAGATTTTCATGTTTACAATAGGCAAATTAGCATCCACTCCCTCTTCCCCTTAAATCGCTGCATGGCACAGCTACCACTGCTCCTTTATCTGTTGCCACTCTCATGAGCTGTTCTGAGTTAGAAGCTCCAAAATATTCAGGCTCAGCAATGGAATGTCTAGCTTAACATTGCTGGGGTCAGGATAGCTAGGAACAATCGAAAGATGTTTTGCTGTGGGTTAGGATGAAGAAGGCAGTCCTCTAGTAGTCTGACTTGGGATTTATGGATTAATGTTTGATCTACAGCTAAGACAAGAAAAATACATCACAACCTAGCACAGTAGCCACAGTGAGCATCTAGATTTTCTGCATGTCAAATAGAGGAGCATTGAAAATGAAGCCTAGGGGAGCAACGGCAACTATGTCTTCTGTTCTGGTAAACTGAAGGGCAGCACCGTAGATGGGGGTAGCCCTTGCATGCAGCATCTTGAAGATTGTATGCACTTGTATATTGAGCAAAGTATACACACATATACACATAAACACACACACACACACACACACACACACACACACACACACACAGAGACAGAGAGACAGAGAGACAGACAGAGAAAGAGAGGGAGGGGGACAGAGAGGGGGAGGGAGGCAGGGAGAAAGAGGGATAGAGGGAAAGAAAGAGAGAGATACCTTGAATGCTAAGAAGAAAAGAATACTGTTGAAACAATAAATATGTAGAATGTTGTTTGATATTTTTGAAATTCTAGAGGTTATTGCAGCCCCACATCCTAAATAGGAGACGGACTCACACACAAATAAGTCAATTTGAATGCAGTAAGGGAAACTTCCCAAGCCAGAGGAGAGCAGAAGTCTCTAGAGAGTTGGAGAATCATCACCTGCCCAACACCAAGAGCATACGCATGGGCTCCGGCCTATGAAAAGGTGGTGTAGAGAAGGGCAAGTCTATAGGAAGGAAGTGAGTAATGAGAATTAAGGGGGAAGTTGGGACCCAAATAGGAACTGCAGATGGGTGTTCCTCAAAAAAAGTATTGGGACAACAAGAATAGAAACCAAAGCAGTGGTCTTGGGAAGAAAACATCCCTTATTATGCAGCCAAGGAACTCACACAACGCAAAGAAAATCAATGAAAAGAACCTCACGTCAAGACACATTTGCAAAAGAAAAGAGGAAAGAGGAGAAGGAAGGAAGGAACAACGAAGGAAGGGAGAGAAATGAAAAAAGGATGGAGAAAGTAAGGGGAATAACAAAGGAAACTCCTTCAAACACCTGTAGAGGGGAAATGCTGAGCAACAAGAAGATAACTGGAGCTCAGACTGACTGCAACAGAAAGAAGCCCAGCCAGCAGAGTGAGAGGGATGTTAGAGGAGAAGGTGCCGGCCTTGGCACTGTGTCCTCCCAGTAGTACAAAGCTGTAGACTCGTGAGCAGTTAAACACTTGGAGGGGGCCTCCAATGCTGTAAATCCAAAATGAAGATCTCAAAGTTTGCAGGCTCTTAGGCCAGGTGTCTCCAGCCAGCCCTAGAGTTAAGTGAAAGTAGTTAGCAGAAGAGTTTCACAGCTACAGGAAATGTCATAATAATTTTATGGTTACTCAAAATCCAGGAAAACTGGACTCTAGGCCTTCAGAGTCAATAAATAAGGCAAAAGTCACCAAGCAGTGTACTAAAGACAAAACTGAGGGGACAGAAGGAAGGGGCTAAGAACTAAAGCACAAAACAAAGATGGTGAATGCAAAATTACCTATTCCCAGCTGGGAAAATTCACTTTCACATCTACTCATAAAGCACAAAATATAATCTAAACATAAACTCTACAAAACAAAATATGACTTAAATATGAGGAAAAGACATTTTTAAAGGCACCAGTACTTATTTTAGTTCTAGGAAAG